GCTAGAGCTAAAGCAGCAAAAATAGCAGTCTGGACATCATGATTCGGAATGGAGTTTGGGCTCTGAAGCCTAAGGAATTGGGTGAGCTTGAGAGCCCAGACCTCAATGTCCACGTTGTTATTGTTAGCATGCTAGCTCCAGCCCTGCTCGCATAAGTTTATCTACCTAGTAAGGGAGGGTTGTTCCCAGCTGTAGAGTAGGCACACCCTTTAAAACCAGACTGGCATGGGCCAGCATCCAAAACATCACACTATAATAGCTGGTGTGAAACTGCGGAGAAAGGGTCAGAGAGTTCTGTTGACTTAATGTGAAAGATGGTTCCTTACCCTGTCATTTAAGGGAAATGAGGGATGGGGACTTTCCAGAGCTCTAGAGTGGAAACTACATGGACTGGATGGGAGGAACCCTTGAAGGAAAGAGAAAGTATGAGCTGAATTTTATCATATTACTAACTTCTGGGGATGTGTTTGGACTTCATATAATACTTAATTTTTTTTACTATTTGAACTGTATTTGACAGAGGTTCAGAAAGACATGTTCACATGCACTTTTTTGCCATTGTAAAAGCAGTTCAGTTGCAGGTTTGCACTCTAATATAATTAAAGTTTACTTTTAAAACTCAGTATGAGATTGTAAAAAAAAAAATACAGAAACATCCTAAGTCATTGTGTCAATAAAAAATAGGAACTGCAAAGGAAATTCTGAAACATCCTGAGATATCTTGCTGCTACTGAGTGTTGAAAGAGATTAAAATTGAAAATATGTTCAGAGTCCAATTCAACATCTTAATGATAGATCTTCATAAATACTCTTGATTTTCCAGCAATTTTACTAACATTCTAAATGAATTGCCATTTACTGCGTCACATGAAGGATTACTTAGATATGTCAGAAGCTTGGGCAATAACTAGATCTAGTACTTTTTCAAAAATAGATTAGTTGAAGTGAAAGAAACTCTAACTACTAGGAAATGTACCCCATGTTGCTCTCTAATAGGCACCCAGCAAAACATTTGAAATGCTCAAAGATATGATATGTCTGTAAAAATTATTCCTGGCAAGTGGAGGACATGCTTATTTTTTATTAGCATTGGAACGAATGCTATCTGTGAGCATGGGCAAGTGACCTGGTTTCTCTGGATCCATCCTGTTATCTTTTGCTTTAGTGCCCCCTTTTGTTAAAATGAAATAATAATAATTAGAACAAAAAACAGGACTGTGTAGCACTTTAAAGACTAACAAGATGGTTTAATAAGTGATGAGCTTTCGTGGGCCAGACCCACTTCCTCAGATCAAATAGTGGAAGAAAATTGTCACAACCATATATACCAAAGGATACAATTTTTAAAAAATGAACACATATGAAAGGACAAATCAAATTTCAGAACAGAAGGGGGATGGAGGAGGGGAAAGGGTGGGAGCTAAATGTCTGTGAGCTAATGATATTAGAGGTGATAATTGGGGAAGCTGTCTTTGTAATTGGTACGCTAATTAGGATCTTTATTCAAATTTGAGTGTAAAGTGTCGAATTTAAGCATGAATGACAGTTCAGAAGATTCTCTTTCAAGTGAAGTCTTAAAAGGTCTTTGAAGCAGGATGCAGGTAATCAAGTCATTGAGACAATGTCCTTTCTGGTTGAAATGGCAAGAAACTGTTTTTTCTTTGTGATCCTGTCTGATATCTGTTTTGTGGGCATTGATCCTTTGGCGAAGTGTCTGAGATGTTTGTCCAATGTACATAGCAGACGGACACTTTCGGCACATGATAGCATAAATTATATTTCTGGATGCGCAGGAATATGTGTTCTTGATCTTATAACTCACTTGGTTAGGTCCAATAATGGTATCAGCAGAGTGAATATGTGGACAAAGCTGGCAACGGGGTTTGTTGCACGGGTACCAACAAGAGGGGAAAAGGTAGAGGTCTATAAAATAATGACTGGTGCAGAGCAGTGGTTCTCAAAGTTTTTAGCCTGTGGCCCACCCCATTCAACACACTTTTCCATGGACCACCAGCCCACCACCCATGATGACAAAATGGGTGTAGGAAGGGGTGTGGTTGTGGGGTCTGGCTGGGAGGTAGCATGCATGAGTGTTTTGTGGGTGAGGGTCTGACCAGGTGGTTGGATGCAGGAGTGGGCAGAAGGTGGGTACAGGAATGGATTGGGGTTGGTTGCGGTGTCTAGCTAAGAAGGACAGTGCAGGCACAAGAGGAGGTGCAGGAACAAGCTGAGGGTAGAGTGTCTCGCCAGGAGGTAGGCTGCAGAAGCAGGCTGGGAGTGGGGTGTCTAGGTAGGAGGAAGGGTGCAGAAGTGGGCTGGGGTGAGTGGGATTGTTTGGCCAGGAGGGAGTGTGTAACCTCTGAAATGAGACTCTTGAATTTTTCTTCTGACCAAGCTGTTATTCCTGAATAACCATAGAGGCCTTTTTGTTTGGCTTCTCTACGAGTTGTTGTTGATTAATTTAAAAAGTACTTTTTATCTGAAGGATTGCATTTGGCTAAATTAAGTAATGTCTCTAATTAATACATGATTGTTTTATGTTTTTTACTGTTTCCTTGACAGGCACACAACCCTTTTAGGACTCTAACCTGTGAATGGCAATATTACATAAGCAGGATTTATGATTGCATGAAATCCAAATACAGGCATAGGCAAAGCAATGTCTAAAAACATTCACTCTGCTAATGGTAGACTTTCTATTTACCAGCCTTTCTGAAACAGAAGAAAAAATCCTGCTGCTAACATTAAATGAGATACAGAATATAATCAAAAGAACTCTGGAAGCAATATATTTGTGTTTGAAGACCACAGTTGGTTACTTATGACATAACAAACAAATGGTCTGATTATTTTAAAACAGTAATAAATGAAAAGCCTTGCTTTGTGTGCTTGTGGTTAGCTTCCAGTGTAATTTTGAATCACTACTGAAATCTGTCCAATATAAGTAAAGCTTCAGAGCAAACAGGATTTCACTCAATAGGTACTGGAAGCAGAAATGCGGGGGATGCTGCTGCACCTCCTGACTTGAAGTGACTGCCATTATACACAGGGTTTCGGGGTGGGGAACCTTTTTTGGCTCGGGGGTCACTGACCCACAGAAAAAGCAGTTGGGAATGGCACACAAGTGAGGAGAAAGGAGGGAGAAAAAAAACTCATTGATGTGGCCCCTGACTGAAAAGGTGAAAGACACTCCCCACGTACCCCCCATACACCAGAGTCTAGGGGGCCCAGCCTAGTGGATTTTGTGTGCTCCACCATGTGGTGGGCAGTGAGCAGGAGTGCCAGCACTGGCCCCCCAATGCTGGGGGTGCACCTGAGCTTTGGGGATTGAACCCAGCCAACCCCTGGGCCACATCTGGCCCCTGGGGCTGAGGTTCCCCACCCCTCGTTTACAGTTTGATTCAATGGCTCACAGCATCCCCATTGTACAAATTGCTCCAACAACCTTGTTTCACTCTTCAGTATAAGTGCAAGGAAGATACATTAATCCATACTTTTTATTCTTTCATTTTAAAGTGCAGTTAAATAGTGCAGAGTGCAACATTTAAAATAATACTCTGGATTTCTCTAACACCTCTAACACCTCCACGGGGGAGCAAGTGTCCGTTTGGGCTCCCCCATGGTGGCCCGGCTGAGCGGAGCAGAAGTCAGCTGAGCGCCATGGCAGGAAGTGAAGGGGGGCGGGGTGATGATGTACACAGCCAGGCCCCATCTCCTGGCCATATACGTCACCACCCCACCCCTCTTCCCCTCCTACCATGGCACTCGGCTGACTTCTGCACCGCTCAGCCGGACTGCCGCAGGGGAGCAAGCGGCACAAGCAGCCGTTTGGGCCCCACACTCCCCATGCAGCACGGGCCGCCCAGAGGGAACAGCCAGCATTTCAGGCAACAGCACCCCCCAGAGGGAACAGCCAGCATTTCGGCATTACAGACTCACAGACACTGGGCTACTATATATATGATTACTCATAGGAGATAAGTTGATACTGAAGAACATGATTCAGATGACCAAATACTACATCATGCTTGGATATGGTTTTGGGTGGTTAGCGCTTGAATTATGTGACCAACCCAGCCTCATGAAAATAAATGACATTATTTTCACCATTGGTAGTGTTTCCCCACATAATAACTATATATATCTTCCTCTAGGTGATTCAGTGGAAGAAATCGATCTGACTGTGGTTTACCAAGCAGCTGCTAATGGTGATGTCAACACACTGACTGCAGTGATACGTGAAGATCCTTCAATATTAGAATGTTGCGACACTGAGGGTAACATTGCTTAGATTGTTCCCAATGGGATAAACACTACAATATGTGACTGACCTATCATCTTTTTCCCTTTTTTAATACTGACTTTAAAAACCACTGAAACATTGTAAGTAGAATTATATCTAGTTTCTCTCTTCATAAGCAGCAGGATAGGAAATTTGCATTTTCTTTGGGATATCCATTGGGAATATGAATTTTTGGATGACTCTACATGGCCATAAAATAATACTGTTCTTCTTCCTTATAAGTTTGTTTATTTGCATAAGATAATCCCATTTAACAAATAATGGACACTGGGCACAGAGTCCTCTGACATGAATTTATATTGTTTGTCTCAGGAAGGGAAATGCTGGAAAGTTGCTGAAATTTTACAGGAGACTGGAGAAATCATTTATTTTAGTCAAATTCAAATTATATATATTTTTGGAAATTTTAAAGACTCGTTTGACCAAATTTTCAGAAGTGGACATCAGCAGTTCTGCTTGCAAAATATGGACACAGGTACAAAAATTGATAAAATGCTAAAATATGCAGTTTTTTGCCAAAAGAGCAATTGCACATGTAACAGTTACCTGTTTTATGCTTGAAGTGACATACTTATTTTTATGTTTGGGTTCTCATGCCATGTCTGACATGATGCCCTCTGAGTGCATGCAGTTACTTGTTGTATTTTAGAAGCATGCATTTTCCAAGTGAATCTGATACAAGGCTTTTTGAAAGCTTGTCCCTTTAAGTATGTTGTGTTTAGTCACAAGTTTAATTTTTACCATAGTGGCATTTTTCCAATTTGTATGAAAATTGTAGGGTTCCTAATTTAATAAAAAAATAAACCCCTGCAGATATCTGTGTCTGTTTCTGAAAAATGGCTTTAAACTCTAACTTCACAAATTGAGACCCATGTATTGTCTTCAGATAGTTCTCTGGACCTCAGTATTGTCAAGATGAGACTCTTATTGACTTTCCAGTTCCTCCAGCAAAAGAATAAAGGCAGGCGGTCTAACTTCCTGCAACAGACTAATCAAATTTCAATTCCAGAGCATTTCAGTTGAAATGGATTCAAACACTGAAGTAACTGTGATCTCCTACTTCAAGACAAAATACAGGGCCAGATTCTGCAATGGTTTTTCAAGTTGAGTAGCATGTATTCACCCAAGTAGTGCTATGGAGTTCAGTGAGTCTACTCCCATGAGAATAAGACCCGTAAATTACTCAAATCTAATGCACATTTAAAGTTTTAGTTGCTAGTGTTCAATATATCACATTAATCATTTTAAATTGCTCTGTTGCTTGTTGGAAAATAGTTTGTTGCTGTTAGTAGTTAATTATCAAGAAGATATAAGGGAGAAGAAATAAATTAAATGCAGTGAAGAAATTAATGAGGAAAATCAAGTATTAGTTTGACGTTTGCTTATGCTGTACACTCCAGTCATGGAGATTGCTAGTAGAGAACTTAACTTCCAAAGATGGGAGGAGGCAAAATATTTTAGACTGAAAGCCAATTTTCAAAGAAGTAATTGTGCACATTCAGCATCATCTGTGTCCTCAGAATGGCGCCTGATTTCATAAACTCTGTGGGCACCCACATTCAGGTTGAAACTGAAGTCTGAGAAGAGCATTTCCCTGGCTTGGGCTTGTGTGTGTTTTGTTAGGTGAGGTCTCATTCACATAAAAGGCTTGTTGATGGCAGGGGGAGGAGAATTTTCCCACCAAAACTAAATGGGCCTTTGGTTAACTGAGACACATTCTTTAAAAAGCAGATGATCGTGTTTCTCCAGTACAATTGCTAAACAATTTAGCAAACAAGAGAGTATCTCTTCCTTATAGCTTTAACATATCAAGGATTGTAAAAAATTATTAATATTCATTTAATTAATTAGCAACTATTTCCCCCCCACAGGTTGCACCCCCTTGATGCATGCCATTTCAGGACGCCAAGTTGATACAGTGAAATTGCTGTTGAAGATGGGAGCAAATATTAATACTCAAGATGCCTGCGGACGCACCAGTTTATCTCTTGCAACTTACTTGGTACCAAGACTTCAGTGTGTTACAGAGAGCACTTTGGGAGGGTGAGAGGGTGAAGTAACAAAGACTAATTTTATATTACAGCAAGGAGAGCATAAGTACAAGACTTGTACAGTCCTAGTGTGCTGTACCATGAACAGCACTTCAGTTTAACTGACATTTTCAGCTAGAAAATGTGTCAAAAACAACAGAATGAGCAAGCCATTTGTACAAATTAAATATGCACGTTGCTTTCAAGAATAGATATTTCCTTTGCCAGATATGATCAGAAAATCCTGTGATTA